TCCTTGCTGGTCTTCCCTATTAAATGAAGAAATGCTTTTTAAAGAGTGTATTTGAGGTTCACAAATATTATAAAACGATACAAAATAGAAACCCCATTACCTTAAATTATTGTTTTAATTCTGACTTCATGCTTCTTCTTGCCTGTGCCTTGGGTTAGAAATTGCTTAAAAAGCTGTGGACATTCCAGAAGATGGGGAAGGAACAAAATAAAATGCCAAGAATTTAGCTGTCAACAAAATCTTGGGAGGTAGTTGTGTACTTTGGAATCTTACTGTCTTAAATCCAGAGTTACCAAGCTTCCCATTTCCCCCATCCCTAGCTTAGGGGCCAGGCTGGGAGATGGGGTGTTTTAGGGTTAAAGGACTTGTTTTAATGACCTTGCATTCCTTTTCCATGACCAGCAGCAGGTTTTGCCTGTCTCAGACACGTACAAATCAGTGCTTTTGAGCAGTGATGGTCAGTGTAGAATTTTGGCCCTTCCAAACTAGAATATTTGATACTTTGGTTTTCAAAATACCATAATAGTCACTTTATATTTGTTTCAGAATTTGTGAGAATGAGAAACAGTTATCCTAGGTTAGTACTTACAGTTTATTCTGTGCATGTGAATTAATGATAGATATTTATTGTAGAAGTTGACTAGTATTTTAAAATGTTTCATATTGCTTCAAAAGAAGCATATATTCAGAGCATATAATATTTTATATAGTTATATATATATTCTGTGTAATGTACATGTGTGTATTCTGTAAATTCTGTGTATTCTGTAAGTGAATAGAGGTGGAAAAAAATTAAATACTCATTGGACATTAGAAACTCCGAAGTACATAAGCTGAGTGTTTTTTTTAATGGTCAGAGAAATACTTTTCATGGGAACTCTTGTCTTTTCTTTGGAATTTCTTTCTTGTGTGATTGACTTAATGGCGAGTAGAATTTGGGTATCTTTAAGGCACAGGAAACACCTGCCACAGGTGGATTGAGACAATACTTTCTTTCTGGGGAAAGAGGAGGTATTGGATGGTGGAGCAGAGCCCTCTGCCCCCCCACACTTGCCTGCACACAAGTGGTAGCTAGTAGTGAACTTACTGACCTCTTAACCCTTCTCATCTGGTGTAGCCACAGGGTGGGGATGTTGCCACTAGGCATTTCTAAAGTTTTGGTCTTCCCTCCTTTACTGGGCTTCCTTCTGCTAAGCTGAATCCAGAAGATCTGGTAGCTCTTTCAGTTACTTTTAAATACCAATGGGATAGAATAAGGATTAATGCTGGCAATAGTTAAACACATTCAGCTGACTCATGCCAGCATGTAGTCTCGCTGGTTGGTCCGTCCTGCACTTGGAAGTGGTAACTCTTTATGGGTCAGTCTTGGTACTAAAGCTTTTATAGCTCTTTGTAGTAATAACTAGTGTGTACTGCACACCTTGTCCAAACCTTATCTCTGTTTTTCGGAACAATCAGGCGAGCTAGTTTTCATTATTCCTATTTCGTAGGAGATCTGCTGAGGCTCAAAGAAGAGAAATTGCTTTCTCAAGACCTTGTGGCTGGTGAGGTGCTGAGCTTGGTAGTAACACTTTTTATCTTTCTTTTCCTGGGCCACACTGCTTTTCTTAGAACTCAGAGTGGCCAGGATTACGTGAAGGACTTTAGTAGTGAAAACAGATGGTCAGATTCCTGTCCATTCCTTTTGTTACTGTTGAGATGATGACTTGGTCTTCATGGCTTATCTGTGTCTGTTGCTTTCTTCTTCTTTTTTCTTTCCTTCTCATGTTGAAGTGTAAGAGGGAGTAGGAACAGGTGTGTGTGACTTGTGTGAGCTCACACGGTCTGTGTGTATCTGGGAGAGGGAGGAAGGAAGGTGGTTGGTTTCTCACATGCTAATGACACATTGCTGAGGCTGCTTGCTCCTGTCAAGGCTGCTTGTGATGAAAACCTCCATGGCATGTAATGCTTCCCTATAAATTTTAAAAATCCTTGGCCCAGAAGACCATCCATTTTTTTTTTTTTTTAATTTTATTTTTCATAAACATATAATATCTTTTTATCCCCAGGGGTACAGGTAAGACCATCCATTTTTTAATTCAAAACTGGCATTAATGGATTGCCCAGTTACATAGCAGTAATGATGTTGTGAGTTCTTAAGAAGTTGAGAATGGAGAGTAACATTGCAGGAAGTGGCAAGTTCAGTGGGCAATTTAAAAAAGTCCTCCCTGCGGGGCGCCTGGGTGGCTCAGTGGGTTGAAGCCTCTGCCTTCGGCTCAGGTCATGGTCCCGGGGTCCTGGGATGGAGCCCCGCATCGGGCTCTCTGCTCAGCAGAGAGCCTGCTTCCCATTCTCTCTCTCTCTCTCTGCCTCCCTCTCTGCCTACTTGTGATCTCTGTCTAATAAATAAATAAAAAATCTTAAAAAAAAAAAAAGTCCTCCCTGAATCCTAGAGATAGATCCATTTGTATGTTCTCTGTTTTCCCACTTTTTATCTTTCTGTACCCCACCTCCCCCTGCCCTGGGCACATCTTGCCGTGGACAAGGAGCAAACACGGAGCAAACACAGGAGAGATACATCACCAATTAAAATAATACATAGAAGGAAGAGTGCATGAGCTTGTGAGGGTAGTGACAGGCAGGCTAAAGAACAGAGGGGAAGGATGCATGTGGGAAGCTCACAATGAGACGGAAAGGGTTTTTGAAGCTGAGTTTGGAAGTGTGTGCAGGATGCCCAGAGTCAGTAAGAGAGGCTGAAAGGCCAAACAAGTGCTTTTTGCTCCCTGTCTTCATCAGAGAAGGGCCCTGTACATTGGGAAGTGTCAGATGGTCGTTACTGAGGGGAGCATTCATGCCTCGATGAGGAGTTAGACAGGAAAACTACCCCAGAGCCTGCAGATGTCTACATCTACATCCCAAGTAATGTGGGCATTTTATCCTTGGTCTCAAGGCCACATTATGCATCTTGTGAGAAATTACCAGAAAAATAGAGTTGGGTCAATATCCTAATTTGGGGGGAACATTATTTTCTAGAAGTTAAAGACCCGAAGTAAGCTTCTTGTCAGTTCCTGGCAGAGCTATAGATAAATGACAAACCGGAAATCTTTTATGTGCTTAGGCAAGAATGTGGTGGTCGCTAGGAATCCTCATAGACTCCACCAAGAAGCCTTGCCCAGACTTATTTCCTCTAATTACTGCTTTCCTTTATTTATTTTTGGAGAGGGATACTAGATTATTAGATACAGACATTTGTAATTTCCCCTTTCATGTATGCTTATTTGGTTCAAATAATGGCTCCCGAACTCATTTTTAGCAACTCTTGACTTCATCAGTAAAGTATTTGAGAAATCTCTTCCAACCTTATGCAAAGGAGGAGGTAAGCCAGTTAGATGCTAGTGTTACATAGATTCCTGTATTTTGAAAACTAAGCTAAAACTTTATTGATTAATGAATGACATGCATCCTCATGGGGAAATACTCAGGTAGGCACTGTCTTTGGCCCTGTTTTTCACCAGAAAAAAAACCCTCAAAACCCAGCAGCAAAAAAAATTCCAATAGGAAAAGGACATCCCACTGTCAGATTTGCAAATAAGAGAAAGCCAGGAGGAGTAGCTGGTACAAAAGTGATGAAACTAAAAATTTAAATCATTTTATTGGCTTTTAATTATTACATTGGTAACTGTTGTTAACATAACAAGGGAAGATTTCATATTTATAAATATCAAGTCTTGAATTTATTCCAGAAGTCACTGAAACAATATGAGATAAGGGAAATGTAATTTTGAGGTTATGGGAATTTTGAAATTCTGGCTAGCCATGAATAATATTGTGACCAATATATCTATGAACAAACAAATTAAAGAAAGAAACATAAGACAACGCTACAACAGGAAGAATTAAGCTTAAATGATGTTAGATGGCATTTTATGACTATAAGAGCCATATGTGAAATAGCAGGTTCAGTTGTTACCATTCATCCCAGCATGGTAAGGAGAAGAATAGTTGGTTCTGGGTGATATGTTATAAGGACATTAAAAAAAATTGGTGTAGTTTCCTGAGCATGAAGATGGGTGTGATGAATGCCATATCTGGACTTCATGTCTTAGAGACATCCCAGAAGGAATTTGGAATGCTTAGCCAATAGGAGACCAAGGGAGGACACAGTGACTGCTTTAAATCTTGAGCAGGATTGTAAGTGTACTTCCATTCTTAGGGTTGAATGAGAAGCAAAGAATCGACAGGATATAAGCGAACCAATTCAGCTCCATGTCAGGGAAACTAACAAGTAAAACTGATCAGTGACGGAATGGGAAACCTTGGGAAGAAATGACCAGTACTTTGCTCTAGTACTGGAGATCAAGTTGGACTTACTTCATTGTATTAATGGCCCAGTTCCAATGTTACTGTCTCTTCTTCTCTCTGCAAAATGTTTCCTTTCTCACTTGTTTTTGATCTGCAGCACCACACACAGTAAGGATTGCAGTGGGTGCCTAGTAAATATTGGGTGAAAGGATGAAGCTGAGCAGCGGACTGTCCTGGGTTCTTAGGTAACAAGGTGTCTGACAGCAGAACTACTAGCAATCAATCTATTGGATCCCCTCCACTATGCTATTAATTTATCCCTGCTTCGAGTAGCTAACTTTTGGAGAAAATTTGTTCTAAATTATATGAGAAGAAAAGATTTTTTAAGCTGATTACATCTAGTAAAGCATTTTTCCTGTAATTTGAATTTTTAATCACTGATGTTGCGCACATTTAAGCAAAGTAGCTTGGTTCCCTGGAGAGTGTTTTGAGATTTTTAGAATGATCACCAAACTGTCATCTCTTAAGGATTTTAGTCAATCATCAAGAAAATCATTATTTTCAAATTTGGAAGATTAAAAAAAAAGATACACAATAAATAGAAACGATGCTATCAAAGTTGTGAAACGTCGCCTTTCTTGCAATAGCGATAGACCTCGAGATGCACTAGGTTGAGTGTCACTGAGTAATTTCCCTGTTTGTTACTGCGTTTGGTTTAGGCGGATTTGAAAGTCATTGAGAAGTGGGTGGATGGCGTGAAAGACTTCTTAATGAAAGAGCAGGCTGTCCAGGGAGACGCGGAAGAGCTTCAGAGTCAGCTGGACCAGTGCTCTGTGAGTTCTGCTGATTTAGGAACTCTGCTGTAACAAATAACATTTCCGTCTGCTTCTTTGTTACTTGCTGTTATTAAAATTGCATGAATATGACATGACAATAAACCGAGATAAAAGATCTTTCATCGTAAACCTTTTTTTTTTTTTAATTTGAAGTTATTAAAAGAATGACTATTTATATTTTCATTTTTGGCCAGGGTTATAGAATTCTGCGTAGAGAGAACAAGAGCAATTTTAATTCATTAGGAGCTGCTATCTTATGTTCCAATGATAATTTTAGGGTCATAATCGCCAATTGTACGTTGCTCTTATTATGCCACATGGTGAGGCTTAAAGAGAAACATACTTAACAAGTGAAATTTGCCGGTAAGACTCATGCAATTTATATTTGGCGAAATCATTAGGCTTCTGTAAATTAATGGAGACCACTACTCCCTGCCGAGAGTCAAGTATTTCCAATCTAATTTGGCAGATGGCTATATGGAGCACCCAGGTGAAATGAATTTCTCAAGGCACAATATTTCTTAAGTAGTTAGAAGTCCTAACTTCCAAAGAGTCTGTTTTTATAATATCTTCAGGGATGCAAGCAGAGACAAATTACAGTAATGGCACTCACTTATATAGGAATGAACTCAATATGGGCTTGTTTCTGTATTCAGGCCTTTGTTAATGAAATAGAAACAATGGACTCGTCTCTGAAAGGCATGAGAGAAATAGAGGCTAACCTTCGAAGCTGTCCAGTTGCTGGGATCAAAACCTGGATGCAGACAAAACTAGTGGATTACCAAACCCAACTGGAGAAACTAGGCAAGGAGGTACGTTTTTCAGGTCTGCTGTCTGTGGCTTTTAAGAGGCAGACCGTTCCCTTTTTACAGTGTCTGAATTGATTTTGTAGCCCATCCAGTTTGAAAAACAGTGGTCTAGAACAGCTATAGCATGGGTGGCAGGTTGGGGCAAAGAAATGGATTTTTATTTTAATTAAGGGAAGGCACTAACAGGCCGGTTTGGCTCCTTGGTGGGAATGAGCTTGGCGTGTTCAACAAAAAACTAGAAAGGCAGTGTAGCTGGAAGAGAATGAAGAGAGGAGTTAGTGGATGGGTAAGGTCCGAAGTCAGTATGTAGGTGGGATGAATTGTCTATGGCCTTTGAAACAAAATTTTAAAATTTTATTTCAAGGATGATTTCACACAGAAAGCAGAGGGGTTTGAGCAGGGAAGTGACGTTACCATGTGGGAAAGCCAGAGTGACAACAGAGAAGATTATTTAAGAGGTTATTGCTGTCTTGGCCCTTCAGACTGGAGAGATAGTGGTGGAGGTCACGAGGACTGTTAGGGTTGGTCTATATTTGAAATTAGAGACAGGAGTCTAGTAATGGATTGGACGTGTCATCTTGAAAAGGGAATTGTCAAGGAAGCTGAGGGTTTGTGTAGAGCTTCCACTCGGTGTGAATTGTGGTGCTGTTTGCTGAAATGGTGGAGACTCAAGGAACGAGAAGCTTCTGTGAGAGCAGGTGAAACGATGATTTCCATTCTGGAAAGGCTAAGTGTGAGATTATGAGGCACAACCATGGGGCTCTTCAGCACTTACTGCTGGAAGGAGAAGAGGGCAAGTCCAAAGATTCTGAGGAGTTAGGGTCAGCTGGCAGAGAAACTCCAGGAGGCTGTGAGGCCCCAGGGCCAGATGGAGAAAGCTTTCCATGGTGCCCTGTACTGAGGATTGCTGAGGCCAAGGCGAAGTGAAAGTCGAGCTTTAGATCTGACAAGATGGAGGCTTTAAATGACCTTGAGAAAAGGGTCTGGTGGCTTGACAGGGAAGAGAGTCACATTGGAGAATGTTGAGAAGAAAATGGGAGGTGAGTGGTTGGGACAACAAGTATAACCAACTTTGAGGAAGGAATTTCTCTATTTAAGGGAGCAGAGAAATGGGGTATGTGCAGGGACCTGGTATCCGAAGACTTGTTTTTGTAATTTTTAGAAATAAGAGATGTTAGAGTATATTTGCATGACAAAAAGAAGGACCTCGGTTAGAAGGAGAAAATAAGGAAGCAGAAGAATTTGAGAGAAGATAGTTTCTGGAATGAAGTGTGTCATACATGAGAGGGGTGAGGTCTGCTGTCTCTGTGGAAGAATTGCTGTTGGATAGTTTCTCCGTGGTGACTGAAGGAGGGCAACTCTGGTACAGTAGGACTGCAGTGTAGTTCTCTTCTGATTGCTTGTGCTTCGCCAGTGAGGTTACACAAAGCTGATGTGAGTGAGGAGGGGTGGAAAATTGGAGGAGAAGGTGTGACATACAGGACTGTTCTGCAGACAGCCCTTACATGGTACACATCTCTTCATACAATGTTTTTTGGCTAATGTTTATGTAGGAAAAATTGATAATTTCCATCCTTGGAATGTATTATTTTGTTTCCATTGTTTTCCTCCAAATTCTGTATTTTGAATATGTTCAGACTTAAAGGAAGGTTGAAATAAAGGTAGAGTGAGCAGCCACATACCCATTCTTTAATTTGCCAGTTATAATGTTCTACCACATTTTCTTTCTCTCTCTCTGTCACTCTCTCTCTACACACACACACACACACACACACACACACGAACACACACACACACTTTTTTTCCCTAAGAATGTGCTTTTGACAGGAGTTTGAAGCTATCATGACACTTCACCCCTAAGTTCTTTAGCATGAGTATTAAATACAAAATGCTTCTGTCATGAATAAAGACAGTATTCTGCAAAACCACAGGACCATTGCCACACTTAAGAAAATAACTTTTTAATATCATCTATTCTAGCCAAATTCAAATTTCTCTAAGTGTGCTATAATCTGATGGTTTGTGCTTGAATTTATTGAGATTGGGAGAAAGTAAATACAGAAAATAGTTTGGAAGTGCCAGCAAGGACCAAAGAAAGTGATAGATAGATACAGACAGACATAGATATTTACATCTATGTATCTATCTACATATACACAAACGTACAGATATGACAACATATAATAATTATTAATTACCATCGATTCATCATGAAGGTAAATATGTGGGGAATTTTTAAGTGTCCTCATCAAGGAGGCAACCATGTACTGTGTGAGTCATTGTCTAAAGCCATTCCAGACTCTTGTGTTTCATTGAGTAGTATAAAGGTTGAAGAAGTTTTGGACAAATATAACATTGCCATATTTTTATTTTGCCAAGAAAGGATGGATATATAAAGTCAATCAACAAATAAAAACAATCTGTTTCATCTATTATATCCCTGGTATCATGAAACAAGGCACATTTTAATGCCAAAAAGTAAGAAATATATCATCTCAGGATAATTAATTATAGTTTGGAACTTTAAAAAAAAAAGTTCATTAGTGTCTTTATTACTCTCTGGATCTATGAAATTTATATAATTGACTAGTGTCCAGAAGCTAGTAAGGAGAATTTTCTGGAAGCGGAACCCAAGGAATCTGTATTTGTATATATGTATTTTTTTTTTTTTTTAAAACAGCCACCCCACTTAGAGTGCTGATCAGCAGGACTTGGGGACTGCGTAGACTGCTGGCTCCTGGAGCCCCTTATGGGGACAGGAAAGCAGAGCTCCTGTTTGACCCCTTTTTATTTTTATGTCTGTGATCCTGTTTGGAGGGTGGGAACAGGAAAGCCTCTAAGGATTCGCTCTTTCTCTCACGAGAGCCGTCCTATTCCTGTGCTGGCTTTTGGTCTCTGTCAGCTTTGTGGCCAAGCCAAGGCCCTGACTCCATGATTGCTCCGCTGAGATTTCCTGTGAGTGGGAGGAAGCGAGCGCTGGGTGCTCTCTGTGGGATGCTCTTTCCCTCTTTCCTCTCACAGTTGAAGTCCGTTTGTGGTTGGAGGGTCTCTCTGAACATATTTTTATATCAAGTGTTGTGATTATCTGAAATATTTAACTAAGTTATTGAATGAGATTCAGACAAAACCTATTTTCTGATGTTACTTTTTTGTGTCGGTGTGCAGGATACAGTATAGTAGATTATCAAAACCAGAATTTTGTACGGCAGTGTTTTATGGGAGAAAATGGACATTCTGGTTGCTTCCAGGTTTTTTTCCATAATAACGCTACTGTAGATTTCCTTAAATTATATGTTTTTATCGTTGTAGGTTAGATTCCTTCACTTGGGATTACTCTGTCAAGAGTTATGCATTTTTAGAATTTTAATAGGTATTTACATATTAGATTGCTATCCAAGATGTGGTATAGCATCGCAGTTACAAGGATTGTTTTCATTGTCACTAATATTCCACAACGTCAGCACAAATGTATGAAGGATTTTATCTGAATGTTAAAACAAGGCTCTTGGTGGAAAGTTACCCCTGTGTCCTTAGATATTAGAAACTAGAACTTGACATTTAGTGTTTTAGCATTTGTTTATCTGGGTGAATGGCTTTTCCTTTCCAGATTGCTATTCAAAAAAATAGATTGTCTGAAAGTCAGGAAAAAGCAGTGAACCTGAAGAAAGACTTGGCCGAGATGCAGGAGTGGATGACCCAGGCAGAAGAAGAGTACCTGGAGAGGGATTTTGAGTACAAGTCCCCTGAAGAACTCGAGAGTGCGGTGGAAGAGATGAAGGTGAGTCTGGGCCAGTGGCAACAGGTTTGATAGGTCCCCTTCTCCGTTAAATATGAAGGACTGAATGAACGAATGAATTGGTGGATGAATCTATCGGTCTATCTGTCATCTGTGAAGAACGACATGGACATATAATCTTGTGTAGTTGGATTTCAAACTGGAAAAAAAAGTATGAAAGGATAGCTGCTATGATTTTACCAGGAAGAGGAAGCCGGGAGTCCACGTGTCACATATGGTGCATGAGTTGCGTCCATGAAAGCCCCGAAGACTGTCTCTTCCATTAGAACCTCAGGGAGCCACAGAGAATGACTCAGAAATTTAGTTTTATCAATTACATTGACAGTGTTGTGCAACCATCAGCCCTCTCTGTTTCCAAAAGTTTTAAAGCATTGTCTTTTGTTAGGAACAAGGGTGACTTCCCAACTTGGTTGCAAGTTATCTTCATTTTAGCAAAGGTATTCTTCCAGTGAATTCATGGGAAACATGTGAATAACAAAATTTTGTTCAAGCAGGTAAGAGTCGCGGTAGGAACATGGTCAAGGGATTTAATATCATTTGGGTCCACAGGATGTATTTCCTGTAAATTTACATTCCTGTGTCAATAGTCTTGAATGCTTTCTTGTTTTGTACAGTAAAAGAACTGGGCATCATTCCCAAATTTCTAGCATTGCTTCAAGTGTCCTTCAGTGTTCAAACCAAAGGAGATAGTGTCTTAAAGCCTTTTTTTTTTTTTAAAAAAGTAAGATTAAGCCACATAGTAACTGTTTTATACCAAATTTAACTTGTCTAAAAACATAATTAAAGCAAAAATCCCTGTATATCTTTTAAAAAGGGATTATATTTCATTAGTGTCTTATTGAATATGAATCAAAATAAATACAGTAGGGGACTTTTCTGGTACTTGTATGTAGTATTTTCACTGAAGCATTTCTTTTAGTGTAGCTTTTTTGAGAGCTTTTAAAATATTCAGTATAAGGTAATTAAAGGTAGCCTACCCTGTTAAGAACCATTTCATTTAATTTATTCTCTTTCTTTATATTATAAGCATTGTAGTTTTGTGGTTTCTTAAAGTCCCTGGGGATGAAAGCTTAGAGAAATAAGTTTAAAACCCTTGATGGGGCAACATTCTATTTGTTTTTATTGTTTCAAACAACCATTATAATTTTTAAAACCACTATACTTAGTTACTTTAACAACCGAGGGAAATTTAAAACCATTAAGCAATAAGGAAAGCTGAAAGGGAAAATGAAAAGCTATTCTAGGTTGATTTTTCTGAAAGTGAGTCTTCATCCCTAGCATGGAGGGAGAGTCAGGAAAGAAGCCGGACTAGGTTAGACTTCCCAGTATAACTTGGTCATCATCTTCGAAATGCTATTAATTATCAGAAGCATAGACACACCTATGTTTTAGGATAAAAACAGGTATGTTTACATTATTTTTAAATGATACCTCTACTGTGGTGAAAATTTATTTATTAAAGTTTAATATGCTCAGACTTACAGTGTTTAATGAAAATACCTCACTTAGATTCTTTTCATGGACCCAGACTTTGAAAATACTTCATGTCAGTAACTGAAGGTGACTTAGGGGCTCACATTGCTTGTTATGAAATGTAAATGTTACAGTCAGCATTCTTATTTCAAAAGTACTCTCTGTGGCGATTACCTAAATAATGTTCCAATTAGGTAGTTAGAATCATGTCAGCATTTTAATTTTGGTTTAGTTATCTTTTTGAAAAGAAAGAAATTGGTTACTGAGAAAGGCAGACAGTTCTCAAGTTCATCCTTTCTTGGAACAGAGGGCAAAAGAGGACGTGTTGCAGAAGGAGGTGAGAGTGAAGATTCTCAAGGACAACATCATGTTACTAGCTGCAAAGGCGCCCTCTGGTGGCCAGGAATTGACATCTGAGCTGAATGTTGTGCTGGAGAATTACCAACTTCTCTGTAACAGAATTCGAGGAAAATGCCACACGCTAGAGGTATGTTGTTTTATCAGTGGCGTATTTCTGAGATCAAACTCTGTAAAGTACTGACCATTTCTATATGTTGGAAAAAAATTCGAATTTTCTTTTCCTGTGTGGGTTCATAAAGAAAATGTCATTCTTGGATAACAGGTTGATAAAAGGAAACTGGGATAAAAAATAGGAAACCCAAATCTGCCTTCAATTAGTAGAAGGGTCTTAGGAAAACTATTTCAGATGTTTCATATTTTTAGACATTTTTTATATGTGAAATCAAGATTTTTGTGTTTCAGATAATCTGTAGAGTCTGTTTGAATTCTAAAATTCTAGAACAATGTAATGTGAGCTTCTGTTTTGTTTCATTTTGCCTGGTTAGGACACAGAGGTGAAAGGAAATTTTTTATTATGACTGGTATCTGAAGTTAGAGAGCCACCTGACAGAAAGAAGAACTTATAATGTGCTGGTATTTTGCTAGACCATTTATCCCCCTGGCCACTGGTTGAAGATGTAGATGATGCTTTGACTATTTTTTTTTTTTTTAATACGTTTTTGCTTACTTGTTTTTTGATGTTGGTGTGATTTCTGTTGCATCTCACTGAAAAGATTTAAGAAGCATTTCAATTTATAAATAATTTAAATTCAGTTCAACCTAAAATAAATGACTGTATCGTGGTAAATCCTACAATGGTAAACAATCCCAGCTGTGATATTTAAATTCATTCAGTACTTGCTTGTTCTGAATCTATTTTGTGCTATGATAAATATGTGTAATTCAGACTGGTTAATAAGAAGGCTGTAAGTCAAATGAAACCTCATTCCTTACTGCTAACATACAGTTGATCGTTGAACGGTGTGGGGCTGGGGGTTGTTAGGAGCACTGACCACACCTGATGTCAGCTGATGTCAGCTGAGTATCTGTTTATAATTTTTGACTTCCCCAGAACTTAACTACTAACAGCCTTCTATTGTCCAGAAGCCTTATTGATGACATCAGTGGTCAAGTAACACATACTTTGCATGTTTTATGTATCATGTATGGTATTCTTACAATAATGTAAGTTAAGATGTTAAGAAAATCGTAAGGAAAAGAAGACATGTTTATGTTATTGTGCTGTAAAAAAAAAAAAAAATCCATGTGTAAATGGATCCATGCCTTTCAAACCTGTGTTGTTCAGAGGTCAGCTGTATTGTCTAACATAAAATACCCGAGGTTACTCAATTGAGAATTAAAATTTAAAATTTTGTAAATATAATATTATGTATGCCTAATCTTGGGTCCTGGTGAATGATCCTGGACTTGAATTTTACTGTAGTTTGACCCGTGTTTTTGTTTTCCTATTTATTTACAGCCAAAATAACAACTCATAATATGTTAAAATAGTGAACAAAGTCCCAAGTCATACTAATCTAACAAAAGACCACCACCACGTATTCTGTGTCATTTCTTCAAGTTGTGTTTATGACCCAGAGGTGGCAATTTTAGGATGAGGAATGAAATACGTATGTTGAGAATTTGGAATTGCTTTGAGAATTACTTCAGAATTGATTTGAGAGAATTACTTTGAGAGAAGAGAAGGAAGAATGCCAGGAAAAAAAAAGAGAGAGAGAGAAGATGAGGCCTTAATATCTTTAAAGGGGGACATGAAAAGATGAAAAAAGCTTAAAAACTGAAATGCTCTTAAATGATGCCCCAGATGACTAAGGAATCTTGGGCAGAAATAGTCCCAATTCCTAAATTAGAGTAAGAATGCTTCTCTTTGGCAGAGTCCAAGTTTATTACCTCGATTATTTCTAGATGCCTTAAAAAAATTTTTTTTAAATCATGAACTATTTCAAACTTTAGAGAAGTACAGATAATACTATTAATACCCATATAGTCTGTATAACCTATATATGTATCCTCCAGCTTATTTTGCCTTATTTTCCCAGATCTTGTTTTTGAAATAAAACAAATTAGCATTACAGACTACGTTTCCTCCTTTTCCAGCCCATACCCTCTCTAATCCCTCCTTGAAGTAGTCAGTTTCCAGGAGTTGGTATATATTCTTCCCATCCCTGTTTTTATGTGTTTAATAGATACACTTACAATTCCGTTATCAGTGGCTATGTAGCAAACCTCCCCACACACAGTGGCTTACAAACACAGCCATTTCTTGTTTCTTCTGCTGCTGTGGGCTGATCTGGCCCAGCGGAGTGGCTCTTCTGCTCCATGCGGTGTAGGGAGAGCTCACTCAGGTTGCTCAGTGGGGGCACTGGCGACAGCTTCTCCTTTGCAGGTCTTTCTCCTCCTGGCCTCTCTGTTTTCTGGCTTTTTGGCAGCTGGGCAGTGGGCTTTTAGGCGGGAGAGAACAGACGCTGCCAGTCCCTTGAGGGCTAGGCCTGCAGTTTGGTAGAACATGACCTCCATAGCATTCTTTTGTTCTAAGCAGGTTGCCCAGGCCAGCCCACATCCTGGGGGAGGAGAAAACAGTTTTTTTTTTTTTTTTTAAGATTTTTATTTTTATTTATTTGACAGATAGAGATCACAAGTAGGCAGAGAGGCAGGCAGAGAGAGAGAGAGAGGAGGAAGCAGGCTTCCTGCTAAGCAGAGAGCTGGATGTGGGGCTTGATTCCAGGACCCTGAGATCATGACCTGAGCTGAAGGCAGGGGCTTTAACCCACTGAGCCACCCAGGCGCCCCGGAGAAAACAGTTTTGCCATTTAATGGCAAGAGTGGCAAAAATTGTGTGGTTATTATTAGTCCATCTTAGTTCACTCTCTGGCCGTGACTTCGTTCCATCGCTCCCTCACACAAACTGCACTTTGGCTCTCCTTGGGACTCCCAAAGTCATATTCAGTGCAGCCTCGAGCTGGAAACCCAGTGTCTTGTGACCTGCCTTAGGTCCAGATGCAAAATGTGGCTCCTGAAGCAGTTTTCAGGTGCAGGAGTGTAGGACCAGCACCTCTAGATCTGGACACGAAATAGGTTATCTGCCCCCCCCCCCCCACGTACATGGTGAGATGGGCACAGGAAAACCTCAGTGGGCACTCCCATGTAAAAATGTTGATGGAATAGAAGGTAAGTAACACTCACTGGTAATGGTGACTCTGAAAACTAATAATAGTAGTTCTGGAATCCAGCCAGGTATGTGCGGGCGGTCAGTGCCCCAGTCCGGGGGCATGACTGTTGCTTGATCTGGGACCAGTTGGTTTCTTGGGAATGCCCCTCTGGGACTCAATCTTTTTTTCCCACCAGAGATAAGGTTCTGCTTGCCGCTGGGTAGATCCTGGTCTGCTGTCTGTGTGTAGAAATTGGAGGGACTAGACACCTCTTTTCCCTTTTAATCTTAGCCAGGGTTAGCAGATTATAGCCCAAGGATTAAATTTGGCTTGTGGCCTGTGTCTGTAGGCTCATGAACTAAAAATGGTTTGTCTATGTTAAAAGGGTAGTTCAAAAACCGAAACACATGTACAATAAACAAAAAAGAATCTCTGATGGAGAATGAATGCGGCCTATGAAACCTAAAAGACTCACTGTCTTGCCCGCTGACCTGCTAAATACACCTCCTGTGGGGGGCTGGGATGTGCCTTCTCCCTGTCAGTAGGTCTGAAAGCGGGTCATCCCAGGAGGCTCCGTGCTGGACTCTTCCTTCTAAATTGATCAATCAAAGAGGCTCATCCCATATGGGAAGAGGTAGTTCCTCTCATAATTTTGCTTCTGGAATTGGAGGATAAATTTATCCCTTTCCCCACAAAACTCGCATAGGAATGGGGAATAAGTGATTGGGACTACTGTAGTGAGTATAGTATGACTCCATTTGGTTGCATGTGACTCTCTTCAGATAAAGACACATTCCTAGAAATTTAGGAAAAAATTGGAAGGAGTATACAGCAAATTGTTAGATCAGTGAGCTCTGAATTGCAATAGGGTAGACAGCAGGGAATTCTAATTTCCTGTATGATTGTTATAAAGTGTTGCAGTTAGGAGTACTTTTTACCTTCCTGTTAAAAAAAAACAAAACTAATAATGTTTCCCTCCTGGTTTCTTTTACTCATTATATATAGTTTTATTTTTAGCATTTAAACAGATCCTTGGAGTTTTTTTTTTTTTTTTTTTTTTTTTTTTTTTTTTTTAAGTGCACAGAGGGAGGCAACTCATTCCTCTTTATTCCCCCGCCTCCCCGAACTGGTCTAATATGATTTGTTGAAGAACTTTATTTTTTCCCTTATTTGAAGCTCCAACTTCATCAGTTTCTAAATTTCCAAATATGCTCCTCTCCAAATGACATCGTTCTTATCGATTAGAGAGAATGTGTTGTGCTGGAGACACATCGCATCTCCAATGACATTTTTTTTTTAACGACTTTATTTATTTGTCAAAGAGAGAGAGAGAGAGGAGAGAGCAAGCACAAGCAGGGGGAGCAGCAGGCAGAGCAGGCAGAGGGAGAAGCAGGCTCCTTGCCCAGCGAGGAGCCCCATGCAGGACTCGATCTGAGGACTCTGGGATCATGACCCGAGCCGAAGGCAGTGGCTTACCCGACTGAGCCACCCAGGCGCCCCTGCAATGACTTCTTCTGTAGCCGAGCTTTCTTCTTGCTCACTTAGGAGGTGTGGTCCTGCTGGATCGAGCTGCTTCACTATTTGGATCTTGAGACCAGCTGGCTGAGCACTTTGGAGGAGCGCATGAAGAGCACAGAGGCCCTGCCCGAGAAGGCGGACGCCGTCAACGAAGCCCTGGAGGTAGGGCCTTCTACGGGTTGCCGCGAGGCAGGTGACCGCTCCGAGCAGGAGCGCGGTGCTTTGTGTCGACGCACGCATTTGCTTTCTCTCTGGTGTTCCGTGGACTTCCGTGGCCTGAAGTGCTAATACAATCCCACGAATTTAGATTATGGGTGACCCGCTAACTCAGCCTCGTGGGGTGGGTTAGCGGTTTGATAGTACGTTTTAGGCATGTGTGCATTTAGCGGAGCACCTTAGTGATTTTCCAGCTGGTTTTTACCTTTCCCAGGATGAAACTCTGCCTTCTGTTGTTAGGGTGATCGCTCTCTTGTTTCTTCATAAAGTTATTTTTGTTCATTAGACAACTCCCCGGGGAAAGAGCTGGGGACAGGGTAAAGTGGTTAGTAGTGGAGGCCTGGGTCCTGTCCTTGGAGCTTGTCCTCAGGCCTAGGCATGAGCTCCAGGAGGCTGTTCCCAAGTGACCAGCATGACATGTGGCACACGATAACTTAAGAACTGTTTCTTCGATGGATTCAAATATGAAGAGAGTAGATTTGCTTCCAATAAAAGAGGAGGAAGAGGTTCCATTTGCTTTTAAAATGGAAGGGACGCAAGGGTAACTGAGTGGATGACTGGACTGAAGGTCAGAAATGAGTCCAAGGTGGGACCCGGAGTCCAAGAGCCGGACTGAGGCTGTGGGAGGAAAGATGTCGCTTCCCAAGTAAGATCCCAGGGCGAGAGGTTGAGAGAAGAGAAAGTCTGAAAAGCTTACTTTAAAAGCATACCTTCCAAATATGACAATTACACGTGTGCATTCCAGAAACATGGAAAATGGAGAGAAGCAAAAAGCAAGATAAACACTTTTAAACATTTTGGTGTATTTCTTCCTAATTATTATTATTTTCTATCCACGCCAGAAGGCAGTACATCATAGTAATGGATAAAAAGAGCCTTTAGAGTCTTAAAGTTGGAATCATAGCTTTACTTTTTACTGTATGTTTTTGTACTTAACCTCTGTGAGCTTCAATTTTCCCATCTGTAATATGGGAATAGTATTTGGCCCATCAGCTGATTAGATTTATGTATATAATAAGTGTGTATATAAAATAGTGCCTAGCATTCTGTGTATATTGTGGAAAAATGAGTTCCTGTTTTTAGTAAAATAGTCAATAACATAATTTTTCTTGTATAGTGTTGTTTTCTGCTTTTAAACTTTGCATACCATAAACATTTCCCTATGTAATTAATAATTAGTGAAATTACTTTTATGCAAGTCTAGTAACATGTATCGTCATTCATACTGAGTTTTCAATTTTAGGTTTTTATTAGTATTATTATGGATATTGTAAATTAATCATCTACTTCGTTTCTGATCTTGTTCTTTAGGGAGATTTCTAGAGAATGGAATTACTTGTTTAAAAAAGTGGGCATTTTTAGGATCCTTTATATATTTTGCCTCCGTCAATGTGTATTTTTTTCTCCTCTCCCTGTCTAGTCTCTAGAATCTGTTTTGCGACACCCAGCGGATAATCGCACCCAGATTCGAGAACTTGGCCAGACTCTAATTGATGGAGGGATTCTTGATGATATAATCAGTGAGAAACTGGAGGCTTTTAATAGTCGATATGAAGACCTGAGTCACCTGGTAAGAATTGGGGAACACAAGTGTTGATAGGTGTCACGGTATAGAGCTGACCTCGAGAACTTTTACCAGGGGAAAGAGTTGGTAACCAACGTGAATAGGGGTGTTGAGGACATTGAAATACTAGGTGGGGAAGAGTAGACATAACACTTAGAGGACAACGAGAACTTTGATGATTAAAAAAGTCTGTCTTTAAGAGTGTTCCTTCTTACTACCTATGTATTTAATTTCCTTTAAGGTTATTACAGCTGTATATAAGACTAGGAACCCATATTATCCTAGTGAATATTAGGGCCAACTGAATTTGACATAAGTTGCTGTTGTAAAATGTCATAACCTCTAGATACCTATTCAGAGTGCACCACAATATGCGTGTTCATATCGTTAAGTAGAGAAAGGCTATTATCCTTTCTAGGAGGGTTGGATGGATATTACATGCTTTTAAACACAGTAAATAATAATGATTGATGGTTAGGTTGTGAATAGCATCAGGTTTACCCCAAAAGTGCATCAGGTAGTGGTTCAACATGTATGCAAGTCTGTAGAACTTGAGACTTTGGGAAAAAAAAAAAGAGATGTATATGTTCATTCTACTGATAGACATTCTTGCTATATTTTGTATTGTTATTGATAAGCTGATTGCCAGTTCCTGTAAATGTCCTAAATGTGTAATAGATGACATTTTGATTGTCTCTGTTTAATATGTTATGTAGGAAAACTTTACTTTTTTCTTCTTTTTTATTAAGGCATAATTGAAATATAACATTATATTACTTTTAGGTATAGGTGCCTGGGTGGCTCAGTTGGTTAAGCGGCTACCTTCAGCTCAGGTCATGATCCCCGGGGTCCTGGGATTGAGCCCTAGGTCGGGCGTCTTGTTCATGGGGAAGCCTGCTTCTCTCTCTCCCTCCGCTGCTCCCCCTGCTTGTGCTCTCTCTCTCTCTCTCTCTCTCACTATCTCTGTCTCTGTGTCAAATAAATAAATAAAATCTTAAAAAAATTATATTACTTTCAGGTATATGATGTAATGATTTGATATGTGTTTACATTGTGAAACGATCACAATAGCATCCCTCACCATATATAGTCACAATTTTTTTCTAGCGATGAGGACTTTTAAGATCTATTCTCTTCATACTCTTACTCCGTTCCTGTCTCTAAGAGCTTTTTTTGTTGTTGTTTGTTTTAGATTCTATGTATAAGTGAGATCATATGCTATTTGCTTTCCTTTGTCTGACTCATTTCCCTTAGCATAATGCCCTCAAGGGCATTTTTATATTTTGTCACTTTACGTAGAAAGAAGTAAAAATTAGTAATTCACTGTCAGATAAATACGATACTAGAAGAAACTTTTCACTGTTACCTTTGCTAGCTATTATTTATTTATAATGTAGGCCCAAGTTTTGAGCCTGGTGCTTTTCCAGTCTGTTTCTCCCTTGGTGACCAGAACATAAGGGTTCTCTTATATTCAGGTCTTTATATTGGTGCTGAGCAACTAATGATTCAGTTTTTCCCCTGTGTAGGCAGAGAGCAAGCAGATTGCTTTGGAAAAGCAACTCCAGGTCCTACGGGAAACTGACCACATGCTTCAGGTCCTGCAGGAGAGCCTGGGGGAGCTGGACAAGCAGCTGACAACGTACTTGACTGATAGGATCGATGCCTTCCAAGTTCCACAGGAAGCTCAGGTACCACTGTGGAGTGGAGGGCTCTTGAGTCATAAAAAGAGCATATGTCACCTCTTCCTCCCCCACAAGACAGCCAGCCCCTCATGCCATTCCAAACTGAACCAGTGAGGAAGATTGACCTTACTTATGGGGTCGCATATGGGTTTTGGAGTTCTTTTGGTCTCTCTGTGAGACCCTGGCAGATGATCACCATTTTAAAATTAAAGTTGGGAAGTTGGGAAAATTGCCTTTTTATAAATAAGTGGTGAACACTAGAAATGACAAACGCAAAGCTCTTAGTTTGTGGGTCCCACATGGGAGTCCTGCAACACAGGTGGCCTGTATTATTATAAAAGTTATTAAAGCTTGTCCAGTGGTCAACATATTCTTATGTATTGTGTGACTTTCTGGAACTTTAATAAAAAAGACGTTCTCCCCTTTCTGATCTCTTTGTTGCAGAAAATCCAAGCAGAGATCTCAGCCCATGAGCTCACTCTGGAGGAGTTGAGAAGAAACACACGCTCCCAGCCTCTAACTTCCCCAGAAGGCAGGAATGCCAGAGGAGGAAATCAGATGGATGCGTTACAGGTGAAGAGGGAGAGCGGTTCCCTTTTACTCTTTGATGTGCTGGGTGTTAAAAAACAAACAAACAAACAAACAAACAAGAAAAAAAATGTGAGGAAGAGCTGATGACTTCGATGACTTTGGTCTTCTTTATGATGTCAGCAGTGGGATGGGAATGATGCATTGTCTCCCGGAAAAAGAGGCAGAAACAAATTGTTACATGGGTGGAAAATACTGAATCTGATTTTATAGTTTAACTGCGAAGAGAGAGCAAGCTAGATTTAGAACTTATCTTTATATAGATTTTTCCATTAATGCAGAGCCTCTGTCTGTTCTGGTGTGGCTGGTGCACTGGGCAGGTTGAGAGCGTGGGATGTGACACCACCTGGTCCTTTAATGGTGGATGCATGATTGACCTTGAGCTTGCTATGAAGGGCATTTGAGTTTTAGGTTCCTGAACTATATTTTTCAAACAGGTTAAAAATTCTGTGAAGTTTTACTTCTAGTGAGGCCAGTTTGGTCTTTTCTTATGTCTTAGACTGATACTCTGTCAAGTAATTCATGACACTGCTCTGTGCAGGGCACTCAGGTAGTTGGGAAGCCTATGTTCCTTGAAGGAATGTTTTTATGGCTGCCTTGTCTTGCAGCTCTTTAGCAGTGTATGTTGTACTCATATCTCTGCTGAGAGAGATCATCATTCTGATGCAAATTACTTATTTTGTTCATTTCGGGAAACAGAGGAAACTTCGAGAGGTGTCCACAAAGTTCCAGCTTTTCCAGAAGCCTGCTAACTTTGAGCAGCGCATGCTTGATTGCAAGCGTGTGTTGGATTGTGTGAAAGCAGAACTTCATGTTCTGGACGTGAAGGATGTGGATCCTGATGTCATACAGAGCCATCTGGACAAGTGTATGGTGAGGCCACTGGGGGGATAATGTGTCCAGTAGGTTTTCCAGCAGCTAACATAGTTTCATCTAGTGCCTCTGTACATGGCTTATTTAATAATTACCAGTCTCTAGTGAGCTAAGAAGAGAGCTCAATGGTGGAAAAACAGGTTAAAAGTATCAAAGTGTGGTCCTGTCCTTCAAGGAAAATAGAAGAGATGAGAGAGACAGGTGGGAGAGAGTAAAATCAATTACTACAATGTAATGAGATAAGGAAGCTGGAATAGACATGCATATAACATGATTTAAAAAACAAGGGAAACATCTTAATCACAGCATGAAGTTTGGGAAGATTTTGACAGAATGTGACTAATAAGCTAAGTTTTAAAGGATAAGTTTGAGTCAGCTAGGAGAGCCATACTGAGAATAGATGTCAGGAATATTACAGTGTAAAAGAATATCATTCTTAAGGAAAGTAAAACTTTGAATTTCAACTTAAAAAGTTTAAGCCTAAAATATGAAAGAGGAAATTATACTTAGAATGATGTTGGGAATATTATAGCATTAAAAAAACCCCATTCTCTAGGAAAGTAAAAATTTAAATTCCAGTTTAAAACTAAGATGTGAAAAAAGTTATTTATAAGGCTTTATTACTGTTTTGGTCTTGAACATTATAATTCAGTTGAGTAGAAATTTAAAAATAATATGGCTAAGTATACACAATCTTAGAATTAATCTTCTCCTTGAGAAGACTCACAGAGAACTTAAGATGACACTTGTTAAGACAAAAGTCGGGGCAGAGTTCTTTGTGCTTTTCAAAATTGTAGTCTCCTTATTTGTTGGACACTGAAGTTTTGTGTACTCAAAAGCTAGAGTGGGTGGAAGAATGAACAAACAGTGTAAATTTTGGGTGTATGAGTATGTGTGTTTATGTGAGTGTGTATGTTTGCATTTGTGGGCATATGTGTATGTATGTGTGTGAGTGTAGACATAAGTAGTTATTGATTTAATGAGACACAGAGACCAGTAGAACACTGTCCTTGACCTTATGTAACTTAGTCCAATGGTTTGTTGTTATGCGACAATGCCACAGGAGATGTTTCAGGTCAAGGTCATGATGGACGGAAACAAGAGAACTTACCCACATAAAAGCTTTTTAGTTTCAAGGTAACTAGGATGAGGATGGCTCTGAATTTGACCTACGTAACTCCAATTTCTTATAGATACATACGTCTTGATATATTGAGTATATATCTTTTCATCATGTAAGTAATACATGCTCATTGTGGTAGACTTGGTACTTCACAGAATTCTAAAGAAAAAATAAGTGGATGTTAATACTTCCAAATTTCAACAGCCAGAAATATAGCCAATGTTGGCTTTTTTTCTGGTAATAACATGTATGGTTTTTAAAAATGTAATTTAAAAAATGATAGACATTCGGTTTTTAGTCATAATATTTTTCCATTTTATGTAGGAAAAATGTTTTTATTACTAAGTACTTCCCTAAACCTTGAAAATATATGTTTGAGGGTTTTTTAAACAAGTATAATATCTATTAGTTTATTTTCTTATCTGATTTTGAAAAGATAATACAACCTTGATTTCACTTCACTTGTCCTTTGAACCAAATCGGAGGAAGATAAAGCCCTTTGATCTCCATAGTTACTTTGTAGCTGTCAGTCTGTATAAGCCGCATTCTGAAATGACTCCAATTAGCAACTTTTCACCACAGTGTGTAAAATGTGCCTTGCTTTCTTTTAAAGAAACTCTATAAAACGTTGAGTGAAGTCAAGCTGGAAGTGGAGACTGTAATCAAAACAGGAAGGCACATTGTCCAAAAGCAACAAACAGACAATCCCAAGGGGATGGATGAACAGCTGACTTCTCTGAAGATTCTCTACAATGACCTGGGTGCCCAGGTAAGGACATGCCTACTGCTCCCCTGTGTCTCTCTTGTTTATGCATTTTAAAATCTTGCTCCTAGAAGAATGCATGTTTGAATTTTGGGGCACTAATAATAGTGCTTTCAATTCTTCCAGTATTTTTTATTATATTTCTTTACAGCTATATATTACTATCACAATGATGAATTGTAGAGAAATTTACTTTTAATATTTAATCCAGACTCATTTTTGTATTTTCAATGGCTGGTCACTTTTCAGAAGTTATTCTAACTATCCCAGTGATAGCCCCTGTATAAACTCAAGTTACTTGTCCCGGGATTTCTAAATTGAGTAGTCTACTGAGAAATATTAAAACACTGGGACTCTAATAAATGGTAAGTGACAGGAAGTTCACATTAATCTAGCAGGATCTGAAATCCTTTTAAGAAACATCTATAATTTGGGCATCTGAGTGAATCTGCAAAAGGACTTCTGGCCATATATTATGAATGACTGTATTCAGAAGGTTGAATGTCTTCTCTTGTGAGAACTCTGCCCTAAAACAAGGAAAGCAAAGCAAAGCAAAACTACAACAAAAGTGTTTAAAGTGATATCTTCTTGGCAATATTGGAAAGCTGTGTTAGATAATATTTTAGATCCTTCTTGGGTTTTTAAATAGTACCTAAGTTGGTGCACAGACCCAGAGAAAACTAGCTGGAATTTTGCTATCATTTTTGGATTAATAAGAATAAGCGGTGCATACATTTCCTGGACAATTTTGACCTCCTCACTAAAGCAAGAGAAGATTGCTAATCTGATACATTTTATATCATTTTGATACACTGCACATCTGGAACACACAGTGTAGAGCTTCTTGGTATTATTTTACAGCTGAAGTTATTTCTCAAATATTACTGTATTTATTCATCAACTGGGCATTTTTTGGATGGGAATGGTGTTGCCATTTTAATGTCAATTCTCCAATGTGTCTATGGTTTTAGTGTTAAGTCATTTTCTCATTCAATACAATTGAGATGGTACTGTTTAACAGGAAGCATATAGGCAGTAGATATACAGTGGCACACAAAAACATAAATTATCTCTTTGTCTAATAGAATTTAGGGTTATGAGAGAAGAAAACATTAATCAGGTAGTCTTACAAAGTACCACCATATTAGCAGTCTGAAGTGTTAGGAAGGAATGTATGTGGTGCTTTAAGAGTATATGTCAAGGAGGATTTGGCCCAGACTGGGGTTATAGAAATGTAACTGGGGTTACGTTTCCTTCAGGAAATGGTGTGTAAACTGAGATCTGAAGGATGAGTAGGAATAGCCTGGGTGAAAGCAGTGGAGCAGCCTTTAAGGTTGCTGGGAGAGCATGTGGAAAGGCCCTGTGGCAAGAGGCAGCATGGTACATTTGTGTGACTAATGCAGAGAGAGCAAGTGTGGGGAACATAGTATTAGGGAAAGGGATGAGACCAGAGCATACTAGTGTCTGGGTTTGTGATAAGGATTTTAATCTTAAGAGCTTTAAGAAGTTATTGCAGATTTTAACAGGGAGATAATAAGCTCATGCATTGGCTTTTTCAATGATCACTCACTGCAGTCTGGGGGATGAGCTGGAGAAAGGCAGCAGTGGATGTGAAGAGAGCAGTTAGGAAGTCATTGTGTTCTTAGTGAGAAATGATGGTGGCATGAACGATGGTGGAGCGGTGGAGATGGCATGAGGAGCCGATGGTCTCAGACACATTGAAGAAGTGGAGTGAGTAAGAATTGTTGATGGATCAGGATGTGGGAGTGTGGTAGGAGATGATCGATGACCTCTGGGTTTCTGGCTTGGTTACGTGGAAGATCGTGGTGCCATGACTGGGGGTGGGCAGCGGAAGGAAAGGCGGAAACATGGAAAAGTCCTAAGTATGGATTGGGCATGTTCACATGTTAAGTGCCTTTGTGAGAGTGACTTGAATATGGCGGGTACTCACAAAGTTATTCAAGTCTGGAGACTATATCTGGGCTGAAGCTAGGAATTTTATGAGTCATCTGCGTAGAGACAGTAATTAAAGTTTTCAGTGATGATGAGATTGTCTAGGGAGAAGATATAATGAGAAAAGAAAAACCTATATAGGCCACAAAATAAAAAATAAATGAGTGGGACTACATCAAACTAAAGAGCTCCTGCACGGCCAAAGAATCATCAACAAAATGGAAAGACAACCTGCAGAATGGGGAAAAAATATTTGTAAATCATATATATGATAATGAGTTAACATCAAAAATATATAAAGAATCTATACAACTCAATAGCAAAAAACCCAAATAATCCAATTAAAAATGGGCAGAGGACCTGAATAGACATTGTACCAAGGAAGATATATGCATGATCAACAGGTACATGAGAAGGTACTCAAGCATGACTGATCACTGGGGAAATGCAAATCAGAACCACAGTGAGATACTACCTCACACCTGTTCAATAGGAAGAGATAATGCCGGCGAGGATGTGAAGAACAGGCTGTGCACTGTTGGTAGGATTGTAAATTGGTGCAACTTCTGTGGAACAGAGTGCAGAGGTTCCTCAAAAAATTAAAAATAGAACTATAGTATGATCCAGTAATTCTAATTCTGGGTATATATCTGACAGAAACAAAAATATTATATCGAAGAGGGATGCCTGGGTGGCTCATTCGGTTAAGCGGCTGCCTTTGGCTCAGGTCGTGATTCCAGTGTCCTGGGATCAAGTCCCGCATCAGGCTCCTTGCTCTGCGGGGAGCCTGCTTCTCCCTCTGCCTCCGCCTGCCACTCTGCCTGCCTGCCTATGCTCTCTTTCTCTCACTCTAACAAATAAATAAAATAAAATCTTAAAGAAAAATATTACGTTGAAGAGATATTGGCACCCTTATGTTTATAGTAGCTCTGTTTAGAGTTGCCAAGGCATGGAAGCAGCCCAAGTGTCCACTGATGGAAGAATGGATATGGAAGATGTGGATATATGTACTATATATGGTATATCTCATTTAGCACAATGAGGGCATTGTACTAAGTGAGATAAGTCAGACAGAGAAAGACAAATAATGTATGACTCATATTTATGTGAAATCTCTAAAAGAACAACAACCAAACTCACATAAAGAGAGATCAGATTTGTGGCTACCAGAGATGGGGGACTGGTGGGTCTAGGAATTGGATGAAGGTGATAAAAAATAACAAACTCGCAGTCACAAGATACATAAGCCCTAGGGCTGTAATGTATAGCGTGCTGCCTACAGCTGACACCACTGGATGTGTATGTAGAGAAGTGGTGAGGAGGGTAAATCGCACGAGTTCTCTTCACCATTTTTTTTTTTTTTATCTGTATGAAATGATGGATGTTTGAAAAACCATTTTCTAAACCATTTTTTGGGTATCTGTGTGAAATGATGGATGTTTAAAGTTATTGTGGTAATCATTTTGTAATCTATGTGAGTAAAGTCATTGTGCTGCATATACCTTAAACTTATACAGTGCCATATCTCAATAAAACTGGAAAAAATAAAAATAATTTTTAAGTAAAAAAAAAAAAAGGCCTGAATGAAGTCTTGAGGAATTAGATTATTTAGTAAGAAATTTGAGGAAGATATGTCTGCAAAAGAAACTTAAGTATAGCTGTACCACATTTTATTTATCTGTTCATTAGTGGACATTTAAGTGGTTTCCACATCTCGACTATCGTGTGTAATGCTGCCATGAACATAGACATGCAGATATCTTTTCTAAACACTGATTTCATTTCCTTTGGATATATACACCAAAGTAGGATTACTGGATCATATGGTAGTTTTATTTATTTTTTTTAAATTAAAAAAAAATTTTTTTTTTTTTTTAAGATTTCACCTATTTATTTGAGAGAGAGGCAGTGTGAGAGAGCATGAGAGGGGAGAAGGTCAGAGGGAGAAGCAGACTCCCCATGGAGCTGGGAGCCCGATGCGGGACTCGGTCCCGGGACCCCAGGATCGTGACCTGAGCCAAAGGCAGTTGCTTAACCAACTGAGCCTCCCAGGCGCCCGGTAGTTTTATTTTTAATGTTTTAAGGGGCCACCATACTGTTTTCCATAATTGTATACTTGAAATCTGCTAAGAGGATAGATGTGTTTTCACTACCAAAAAAAAAAAAAAAAAAAAGATAACTATGGGAGATGATGGATGCATTGATTAAGTTGTGGTAGTCATCTCACTCTGTATATGTACATAAAATGATCACATTGTACACCGTAAAAAACCACATGGAAAAAACAAAATATATGTAAATGAAACAACAGTTAGTAGCAAGAAGTGTTAGCACACCAGGAGAGTGGTGGGGCTGGGAAGCCAATGGAAAAAGGTATTTTGAGATGGGTGTAGGCACTGTTTTTGAATTACTGAACATTAAAAATGATGTCAACTTAAAGATGCCCATTTACATCTGTTGCCCTTGAAATCATTATTGAGATCAGCAAAGACAATTTCTGTGGAGTGATGGGGCAGAAGACAGGATGGGAGAAGGTAAGAAATGTGGGGAAGGTAAGAAAATGCTTTAGAGGATTGGTAAGGGAGAGATAGGAGAGAGGAAGGTCTTAGGGGAGATGCAGTCAAAGGCAGTTTTTTAAAAAATATAAGAAACTTGAGTATACATATATTTTAGATTTTATTTATTTACTTGAGAGAGAGAGAGAGAGAGAGAGCATGAACAGGGGGGACAAGGGCAGAGGGAGAGGGAGAAGCAGATTCCCTGCTCAGCAGGGACGCCTCCCTCCAACCCCCTGTGGGTCTCCATCCCAGGACCTGGAGATCATGACTTGAGCGAAAGGCAGATGCTTAACTGATGGAGCCACCCAGGTGCCCCAAGACTTGAGTATATTTCATAGCTGATGGGGATCATCCTGTGAAGAGGGAATGGTTGAATATCTAAGAGGGAGAAAAGATAAATGGTTAGGTAAAATCTCTCCAAGTTGATTCTGCCTAATTTAGAATGGACTACATCTCAAAATGTATTGGTTGGGCTGAGAAGAGTGAATTGTAAGTTAAGCTGTAAATTATTTTCTTCCGGGTATATACAAATCTTTGGTAGCATTAAGTTTTATGATGCTTGTGTAACTGCCTGGGCATGTCAAAATCAGATGAGGTCTTCTGAATGCCTAATATCTTTTAATATAATTCATGTATTTGTCTCCTGAAGTCTGCATTGAGGGGCTATTAATTTAAAATCATGAATTCTAATTAAACTCTGTAGAGAAAAATATTTCACTTTTAAGAAGGAATTTAATAATAATCAATCCTTGAGGTATGAAACAGTAAAATGGAACCTAGGGGGCCAGAAAAAAAATGCAATTCCACGTTACTTATTAAGAAAATTCAGTTTTTCTATCATCTAAGAAAAGTCTTATTCCATACATGACTTATCACTCTGCTACTTAGGTAATGCAATTTATCTCTACATATGTACACATAAAAGGAAGAACACATTTTTATTTATGTATTGTTTTGTGATACCCTTAAAAATGCTGTCTCAGCTTTAGATAATGAATGATAGTTTTGAGAGTACCATCACGTAACGTAAAGGGTCAGACCAGGCTCCATTCAGTGGCCATGTCCCCCTGATCATAGCTTTAGCCCCTTTAAGTGTCACTGCCCCGACCTGCAAAGTAGGAAGGCTAGCTTCTCACAGGGGCTGCAGATCTTATTGCATAGCATGGGTAAGATTCTTCAGCATGATGTGGGAGTTATGTTAAGTGCCTCATAAATGTTTGTTCAGTTCATTTTGCTTTCCGTCAGCTACAAAAACAAAATAATACTAAAGGTTTATGCTGCATAGGCATTTATTTATTTTAAATTAAGTAGTTAATGGCAAAACATAATTATGAAAATCATACTCTTTCCCCCTCACATTTCTAGAATATAGTGTATATATGTGTGTGTGTTTTAAAGATTTTATTTATTTGACAGAGTTCACAAGCAGGCAGAAAGGCAGGAAGGGAGAGAGGAGGAAGCAGGTTCCCCGCTGAGCAGAGAACCTGATGTGGGGCTTGATCCCAGGACCCCAATATCATGACCCGAGCCGAAGGCAAAGGGTTAACCCACTGAGCCATCCAGGCGCCCCAATGTGTGTGTTTTTTAAACAGAATTTTTTCTTGAGAGGATTGTAAGGCATCTTCGATTCAAAAGATAAAAGATAACATTTACTGATTCCTTAACTTTGTTACAAGGTCTGCTCCAAGCCCTCTGTGTATATATCTTTCTTATTTGATACATAAATATCAACCTTTTGAGGGCTATGCCTCTACCAAGGTCACTTAGAAAGTAACCCAGGGTTGTCCGACACTTAACCTCTGTAGTATATTGTCCCCTTGTAGAAATACAAGAATGGAGTGATTCCAGGTGGGAGAGAGAAAGGTTATGTATGTCTTGGGATTTAAGTATGAATAGTTTGGATCTTTAGTTATTATTTGAATTTATTCTTTTCATGTTCTTTTCCCTCTTCCTTTCCCTTTCTCTCTCCCTCCTCTCCCCCTCTCTCTCTCTTTCCCTTCCCTCCCTTTTTTTTCACTCTTTCTCTACCTCCCCCCTTCTCTCTTTCTCCTTTTTAGGTGACAGAGGGAAAACAGGACCTGGAAAGAGCATCACAGTTGGCCCGGAAAATGAAGCAAGAGACTGCTTCTCTCTCTGAATGGCTTTCTGTTACTGAAGCTGAATTGGTACAGAAATCCACGTCTGGAGGCTTGAGTGGGGACTTGGATATAGAAATCTCCTGGGCTAAAGTAAGTTGTAACTCGGGTTACGCCAATATTATGCCAGGATCTCCTGTGGCATTTTGTTCAGGATGTCCTTTATTTCCATTTCATGTTAAATACACCATTTTCTTTTTTTCCATTATTTTTTCCACTTCTCTGTCTTAAGGAAAAAGAAAAGACTATTTTAAAAGACAACAATTTGGGGTGCCTGGGTGGCTCAGTGGGTTAAAGCCTCTGCCTCTGGCTCAGGTCATGATCCCAGGGTCCTGGGATGGAGCCCCGCATCGGGCTCTCTGCTCATCAGGCAGCCTGCTTCCTCCTCTCTCTCTGCCTACCTCTCTGCCTACTTGTGATCTCTGTCAAACAAACAAACAAACAAATAAATAAATAAAACCTTTAAAAAAAAATAAAAGACAACAATTTTAAGACGATATTTTTATCTTGATTCCAAAACCATTAAACTCACATAGATCATTGTGCCTGTGTGGTACGTAAAACATTCTAATCACTACCTTCACAGCTGGTGATAGTTTTTGAGTATTGGTTTTTCACAGAGTATTGGGCCGAGTATTAATTCTTCTGTAATAACTTTTATACCCATAACTAATCTTTATATTGCAAGTGAACTGGTGTAAAGAGTATAGGAACAGAATTTTCAAAAAAAAAAATCAGTAAAAGATCCAAGAGTTTTCTGTAACTCTGTAGTTATTTCGACATCGGAGATTAGAGAGTAGATTTGCTGATTCTTTTGAGGTGGACAAAGGACTGATGGAACACAAAGTCTTTTTTTTTTAAAGCAAAGGCATTCTTCTTCCCTAAATGTACTTCCTAAGAAAGAAGCATGTATAATACAGATAAGTGCTGAATACAAATGACTAATACTGTGATGGAAATTTTTATAAAGCCACAAATATCACTGTTGACATCTACAGGTGTTTGCTTGTAGGAAGTGGAGAACAGGTGCTGTGAGTCATGTATGATGCAACCATTCCTTAATTTGAACACTTTGTAGGGGTAACAGTTGAATGAGAGTCAAGATATAAAGCATTACAATAGCTCATGAAAAGTTTAATTAGGTCATGGACTGTGGTGACGTGACAAGAAGATGGAAAAAGGGATGCAGGAAGGAAAGGGGGAACATTGGAATTTGCTGATAAAAGCAAAGCAAAGACATCAAACTTTCTTTTTGTTTAAGTTTTTCAAGAAAATAATATCTTCTTTTACAATACATTTTGAAAGCCATTATTTTCTTATTAGTAACTTAAGTCATGTAAGCTAATTGAATGACATTTGTACAGTGTAATGAAAAAAGACGGAAGCAAAAATCATTTCTACTCAAAGAATACACTGTTTTTGTTTTTTATAGGCACATATAAACATGGACAGAAACATTTAAAAATAATTATATTGTGTCTAATGTTTCTTAACCTGTCTTAAAAACTTTTATCTTTCATATTTTTCTTTACCTACAGAGGTTTTGTATCACACATTGGAGAAGCGTAGTATTTTATTGGTTTTTTTAAAATTAAGCCATTTCTCTATTCATATCCATTTAAATTATTACCAGTTTCCACTATTGTAAAAAATGCTGTGATGAATATACTTGAAGCTAAATCATAGCATATATTCATGATTATTTCTTGAGGATAAATTCTTAGACTTAAAAATATTGGTCAAGGGATATATCCATTTAAAATTCTTGTACACATTATAAAATTGCCCTGTGGAAATATTATACCCATCAGTTGTGAGTGAGAATTCCTACTTGCTCAAAGGTAGGCAAATATGATGTTTTGGTTATTTAATTGCAACATTTTCCAAAGTTTGGAGGCCATCTGTAGCTCTTTTTATAAAACTGCCTTTTGGGGGCACTTAGATGGCTGCCCATTAAGGATCTGACTCTTGATCTCCGCTCAGGTCTTGATCTCAGCGTTGTGACTTCAAACCCACATTGGGCTCCACACTGGGAATGGAGCCTACTTAAGGAGAAACTACCTTTTTGTAGTTTTGACCATTCTGGTCTTTTAATTTAGAGCTCTTTACCTACCCCAATAATAAATGCTTAGCGTGTTGTGGGTTGTTTCATTTTTCTTTTAATTTTTTGTTTTGTTTTTTTTGTTTCCTTGCGTCTGTAAAAAAGTTTCCTTTCTGTTCTGTATTTTTTAAAACCACCTTATTGTATATTTTTTAAAGAATAAAATTCATCTTTTTCTTCGTTGTTTCTGTCTTTAGTGCTTCTTAGAAAGTCCAACTCCAAGGTTATATAAATCTTTATTTACATTTTCTTCTAGCTCTTTTGTAGTTTCATCTTTTACCTTTAATGTTTTAATCCTTCTGGACCAATAGTTAACCATTTATCTCAGCACTATTTACTAATTATTTTTTCCTTTCTGATTTGACATGCGAAATTCATATATTCTTTTTACCTGTTGCTTTTCTCTGTTTTCCACTTCACTTATTTGACCCTCTGAATTGTTCTTCAACTGTTTAACTATATGGCTTCATAATATGTTTCAACATGTAGTTAAAAGAGTCCATCTTTTATTTCTGTTGTGTGTTTGTGTGTGTGTGTATACTCATATAAACTTAAAATATGCTACTCTGAAATTATTTAAAAAATTCTGTTAGAAAATTTGGTTTGAATTTCCATAAATTTATAAATTTGTTTTGAGGAGAATCAATATCTTTGTTATAAGTCTTCTTAGTAAATGGTGTATTTCCTTTTTCTCCCCAATTTTTTAATATTACTACATAATGCTTTGGTTTTTTCCTTCAAAAACATTATGTATGTATGCAAAGTTGTTTATTCCTACATTTTTATTTTTATAGGTATATAAAAAGTATGCTTTTTCTCTTTTATACTAATTACAGCTTGTATATAGGCAATATGATTTTCACATATTTAATTTTTAATCATCTGTGTACTCACATCAATTCCATTCAATTAGTTGATTCTGGTTATTTTTTAAGGTAAAGACTTTTAAAACAATGTAAGATTGTCTTTTCTGGTACTGTTCATTTTAAAATTCCCATTTAATCTTATTTCATGTTTGAAATAATGAAGATGATAAATACAAATCACGAAGTCACAGCACATTCTCTTCATTAGAATAATCAAATGAAACATCAGTATGAAACATAATCACCTACTTTTTCAGTGTTGTTTTCAGATTTAAGAGACATTCATATTTCACAACACTTTAATGTATTTGCACTTAAAAATTATGTAAAATTTTTTCAATGTAAAAATTTAAATAGCATTTTCATTCCTGAACTTTAATAGCATTTTTATTCAGTAGCTTAAATATTATTTTCAATATAGTCATTTTCTTTACAGTACAGTCTATTAGTGTAGATAGTTGTGTGCACTGTTTACATTTAATTACTTGTAGTTAATTGTTTCGTATGGTTCTTTTTAAAAATACTTTATTTATTTGAGAGAGAGAGAGCATGCACACGTGTATACACACCCAGAAGCAGTGGGGAGGGGTAGAGTGAGAAGGAAAACAGACTCCCTACTGAGCAGGGAGTCCAACACAGGCTCAATCACAGGGTCCTGGGATCATGACTTGAGCCGAAGGCAGATGTTTAATGGACTGAGCCTCTCAGGTGTCCCTATTTTATATAGTTTTTTTTTTTTTTTAAAGATTTTATTTATTCATTTGAGAGAGAGAGAGAGCACAAGCAGAGGGAGAGGCAGAGGGAGAAGCAGGCTCCCCACTGAGTTGGGAGCCCGATGTGGGGCTCGATCCCAGGACCAGAGATCATGACCTGAGCTGAAGGCAGATGCTTAACCATCTAAGCCACCCAGGCGCCCCTATTTTATATAGTTCTTAAAGACTGTTCTGTCAATCAGTACATTCCCTGTGAAGGTAGATAGAAAGTCTTTACTGCAGAGAGCTTGGCTGTGGTTTTCTTTTTTTTTTTTTTTTTAAACTCCCTTCTGGAGAAGAACATTTAGAAGAAACATTTTAGTGCCTTTATAAATATACCAGTATTTGATATGGCCAAGTGAATGTTTAAACCTTGACTCATCTGGGAATTTGTAATTTTTATGCCTTCCAAAATGTAATTTAATGATGTGAGATTAAATATAAATGAGCTCTTGGAAATGATTTGTTTAAATGTTGGCTAAAAAAGGTACAATAGCAGTGGGGTAGATATGCTCATGTTAGTTTTTGATTTTAGAACTTTGTAGTTTTAATTTTGGAATCCAGCATTTTTTCTGTATTTCTCTGAGTACACGTCTTGCCTGGTCAAACCTTATGAATGTGCAAATCAAGTTATCATTATACCACCCAGAGTATTATCTTTGCATATGGCAACTATATGACTACAGCTTAGACATGCTAGTTCTCCTGTGATTTAGCTAAGATGAAATATTTTTAATAATACTAATGCAACAGATTATATATTAAGATTATATATTAAGTCTATTAGTACAGGGTGTTATCCTTCCAAATAAATGTAACACACATCAGTAGTTTCCTGTAGTGGCCCAGGAGATAAATTCATTATAAAATTTTGAGAATTGTAACTTCTGGGATAGTTTTGCTTTCCCAGGTTATAGTTACTGAACATAAAATTGGTTATGTCTAAAGCTATGATGAAGATACTTGGTGTTTGTGTGTAATAAGTAGCATTTGTACTTAAAATTAATGAAAAATTAATGAAATGATTACCTTTTCACAACCGAATTTGTTACTTTTTTGTATTTGCATGCTAATTAATTGTTTTAGTTTTTATTAGGAAGTTAAGAACTCTCAACATGCGAATTGGTTGTGGAGTTCTGGAAACCCTTGACATATTGTGAATTATCTAAGAGAGTCATGGACTACTACGCATATGTAGAAGAAAAGTTTTTAAAAAATTAAAGTTGTGTAAACTGGGTGTTATCTGCAAGTGCTGAATCACTGAATTTTACCCCTGAAACTAATACTACACTATGTGTTAACTAACTTGAATTTAAATAAAATCTTGAAACAGAAAGAAAAACAAAAACCTTTCATGACGTTTGGAAAGATCAAGTGGGTCTTGGTATTTTTCTTTTTTAGAATATTCTGAAGGACCTGGAAAAGAGAAAAGCTGATTTAAATGCCATCACTGAGAGCAGTGCTGCCCTGAAGAACTTGATTGAGGGCAGTGAGCCTGTTTTAGAGGAACGGCTCTGTGTGCTTAACGCTGGCTGGAGCCGAGTCCGCACGTGGACGGAGGATTGGTGCGGTACGTTAATGGTAAGTTTCAGGGAGAGTTTAACAGTGAAGTCTTTTCTCCTTTAATTATTTAAAAGCCGATACAGCCTTGATTAGAATCATAAATCCCGTTTTCTGTGTGTCACAATAATGTTTTGCTTCAAGTGAATTCATTTCATTAGCCTACATGTTATTTTTTTCTTTTGAAAAGATAGTAACTAGAAAGAGTTAAAAATGTCTCTATTAAGTAATAGACTATTTGTGATATCCATATAAATATATACATTAAGATCTTAGTAAACGTACCTCATTTGTTATATTTTAATGATTCGATATTTAATTTTCATGCAATCATTGATGATATATATAATATTTATAGTGTTCTAATAATAATGGCATACTAGCATATGATGGCCCAAGTAATAATTTTGACTACTAGGGGGATGACATTGGTGAGGTCACTTAAATGCTCTTTAAACCTCAATTTTCTCATACGTAAAATAGACAGCATTGTAATTTCTACCTTGTATGGTTTTTGTGATTATTATGTGAGATGAAACATGGATATTTGACTCTATAACTATACTTAAAATAATCAGTGTTAGATATCATGATGATGTTTATGCTAATTATTAAAGGTTATTGTTATTAGTCTTTGGTTATGCCACTGTTAATTATTTCATGGAAATAGTGATTATTTAAATTGCACAATGGTTTTCTGTCCCTCTTATACTAACAATGAATATATGGCAACCTCCCTTTCTCTTCCTATAGAGGGTGTTTCATTTATAAATTATTATTTTGTTTTGATATATCTAAGGACTTTTTCCAAATTCATAGAATTACTGGGTAATAAATAGAGACAGAGAAAAATAAATTATTGTGCTTTGGAACATTTACTGAAATCAGTCGGAATGTGTAGGGCATTGAAACTTATGGCCCATATCTTGATCTGTCAGCTTTTCATCCAGAGTTCTTTTGCAACTTATTACCTGAAAACTTGGGTAAATTACTTAAATATTGTTACATCTTAATTTCCCTGTCTATAAAATCAGAATAAAAGAGCATATCTCACAAAGTTGTTAAATGTTAAAAAAGAATATGAAATTCTTGGCTCGTAAAATATGTTCATTAAATATTTTATATATTCATTTTTACTGTAACTAACTGTATTCTACAATCTCACACCTTTTACTTCTATATTCTTCAGCCAGTACCTTCCAAATTCTCCTTTCAAATAATACCTTTATAGTCCTATTAGAACACTTTTTAAAAAGATTTTATTTATTTGAGAGAGAAAGAAGGAGAAAACATGAATGAGGCAGAGGGGCAGGGAGAAAGTGAGAGGCAGACTCCGCACTGAGCAGGAAGCCAGAGCTGGGGCTCCATCCAAGAACTCTGTGATCATGACCCAAGCCACCCACCAGCAGACGCTTAACTGACTGACCCAGGCGCCCTTAGAATATTAACATTAAATAAGTCTGGTGGTCATCAGTTCTTGTTCTTCTTTCTTAGAACCTGGATCACTTGCAAAGCTTTTCTCATTTATGAGTTCTCAATTTTCTTTTTTTTTTTTTAACTGTTTTCCGTATTATGGATTAATAATTTGTTTTCTTGTCATATAATTACTTGTAAGGTTTTTTCCTAGTTTCCTTTATCCTATAAAATGAAGTTCTTAGAAGTTGTTAATTTCATCCAAAGGCTTCCCTACTCTTTTTGATCAAGTCCTAAATTCTTGCCTTCATCTCAGCTATTTTGCTTTGTTTGATTTGGTTTAACCGTTTTCTTCTGGTTTTCACATTTATTCTCTCAATCACATTTTCTGTCCTGCTTCAGGAAATGTTAGTGAGGTCTGTGCCAGCTGTACTTCTAAGAGCTGACAAGCAGCAGACCTGCCAGTCGTTCAGTCCACTGAGCAGGCAGATGCTTACTCAACCCATATTTTAATTGTTCCTTTATATTACTACTTTTTAAGTGAGTTTTTAAAAAATATGATCAAGGAGGGTAAATGAAATTACTTATAAAAATGAAGAGTAAGGGAGGCAAAATGAAACTGAAAAAGAAAGTTTCACCTTTTATCCGCCTTTAACTTTTTACTGTGTTAAGGTCTAAATCAAGTAAATTTAAGAAGTACATAACCATGCATTTTTAGGAATGATTTATTCACTGGGAAAGAGCTTTGCAGAAAGATGGAAAGCTATCTTGAAACTCAGCGTACATTTGGCTTTTCACAGGTCTTTTAAATGTCATCGAAGATTATTGTCTTAAATATTGCACGTGATTGCATCATTGTTTCATTAATTCTTTTCTAGAACCATCAGAACCAGTTGGAAATATTTGACGGAAATGTTGCTCACATAAGTACATGGCTTTATCAAGCTGAAGCTCTGTTGGATGAGATTGAAAAAAAATCAGCTAGTAAACGGGAAGAAATTGTGAAGGTACCAAGCACAGAGCATCAGTAATGTTTGTGGGAGTGGAGGGTTTTGGTGTCTTTTCTCTAGTGCCCCAAGTTCCTTGTGCCTTCATTCTTCCCTCAGAGTAGATTAGTTTTTATTTTGGTGGGAGAAACTGAGGTCTCATCTGAGTCCTACAGGAATAGCTCTTCATTAAATTGATTACTCTAAAATCTTTTCCAGGGATTCAAGAAATGCACTTAAACTACCTTTAATTTTGAGTTAGCATCACACCCCATGTTTGGTTTTGATTTTTCTTATATGATAATTTTGTGTTTCTTGCAATTAGCGTTTAATATCTGAGCTAGATGATGCCAACCTCCAAGTTGAAAATGTCCGGGATCAAGCCGTTGTTTTGATGAATGCCCGTGGAGGTTCAAGCAGGGAACTTGTAGAACCAAAGTTAGCTGAACTGAATAGAAACTTTGAAAAGGTGTCTCAACATATCAGGAGTGCCAAGGTGAGTAATTATATTTCAATACAAGGCTACTTTTCCTGTGGGCATGTATCTCCGTGATAGGTGATTGTATGGTAAATACATCAAAGAATTTGGGAATTAAGGTGATTTTAATCACTTTTTCTTTGAATGCAGCATCGGTCCTTATTTATTTGTGATTTTGCCTATGAAGGAAATAGTATTGAAGAAACCATTTGAGAGAAGCGTTCAGAGTCTCAATCAGAAGTTAAAATTGGCTATAAAATAAGACTCCCGTCTGCCCCTCCCTACCGTGCCTGCTCTCGCGTTCTCTTCTCTCTCTCTCAAATAAATAAGTACAAAAAGGGCAGGGGAGCCTGGGGGTCTCAGTTGTTAAGTGACTGACTCCTGGTTTCTGCTCAGATCATGATTTTGGGGTTGTGAGATTGAACCCCACTTTGGGCTCTCCACCCAGCACAGGGCTGCTTATGTTTCTCTCTCCCTCTTCCCTCTCTGCCCCTACCCTCCCTCCCTTCCCCCTCCCAAATAAATAAATAAATATATAAATCTTAAAAAAAATTAAGACTCATTCTCAAGCTAGGCATGAATATTAAATCCATTATTTTATAGTCATACTTTATAAATTTGTGCATACTACATGCTTGTGAACTGGTTTTTTACTTGTTTGCAACCAAAAGTTACGAGAAATTTCACAATTTAGACCTAATGCTGAAAAGCTACTATCTGCTGTTATAAATTTGAAAAAGCGCTTTATAAATTTAAATAAGAGGATAATAAATAAGAGTTTTCCTTAAAAAAGCTTTTCCTTATGCTTCCGTATGATAATGTTTCTCTCTGTGTTATCTTACTAATTCTCTTTCTTCTTTCCCTTGTTTCCTGAGAGGGAGGAAAGGAGGCATTTTACTGTAGTGTTCTCAAGGCCTGGAGTGTGGCAAGTGCTCAGTAAATGTGAAATTGAAAAGATGGGAACATTTCGATGGTTTGCTAGGCAAAAAACAAAGCAGCATAGTTGACTTTGGGGGTCATTCAAACTAGGTGTTCATTCTGACAGGATTATGAGGTTTTCAGGATCCCAGCTGGGCCAATGGGTTTTGAGTATTTGGTTAATTCTACCTCCTGAGAGTTGTGTGTGGAAATTATCTAAGAGGAAGGACCCTCTTTTTTGCAAGAGGTAGACATTATCTAAGTCAGCTTTAATTTGTAATAGCTGACATATTAAGCCAAACTATCTTTCTTAGCTCACAAATATACTTAGATTATTTACAACTTAAGGAAAACAAAGAACTTGCTTTAACTTTTGTCTTTCTTAGCTTTGGCCTTATTTCCCTACTCTCTGACTCAAGTTCATTTGTATTTTTCAAAAGGTATATAGGAGCATTTTCCTGGTTTAAAAGAGTAAGGCATAAGACATAGGGAAGAGTGAGAGGAAGTACAAAGAAGCAAAATTATTGTCCCCATAAATAACTTCTATTAACATTTTGGCATGCATGTCTACTCTTACTCATATCTCTGTGATATTAAAATATTAAAATTTTTATATTGTTTCGCTTATTCTCCTTTGACATGGTTTTCAAGAGCTATGGGGTGTTACATTATATGATCTATTACACTTTTGTTAAGTCAGTTTTCCACTTTTAGTGTCCTTTTATAAATATCAAATTGTCAGAATTCTTTTATGCATGTCTTTTTGCTCATTTGTTAGTGTGCCCTTTAGGGTCAATTCTTTGAATTCCTTGAAATTGTTGTAGCAGTTGTGTGTATAAATACCATTAAATAGATTTTCCAAAGAGTCGTACAAAAAGTTTGTGCCAATTTTTACTTCCATAATCAGAGAGTGCTCGTTTCCCCATGCTCAGCCAACACCTTATTTTCCTGCACATTAGTTTTATTAAAGTTGTTACATTGAGTTTAGTTATATAAATATGAAGTCTTTCTATAATGATATTGTCTGAAAATACTGCATTGAGAAAGATGTACTTTTTCAGATTTTGGGTATCAAAATCCAAAGGGGATTCTACAGGAGACATTCTGTGGGATGTACCTGTACTTGGTGGTGGCCTTTCTTCTTTCCGTGGTCCTGGCAGGGATGGTTTTTGGATCTTGGCCCTATTTCTTGCTGTGCTCATACGTGATCTCAGAATCCTCTCACAGCACTGCAGGGGGCCTCATTTATTTGCCCACTAGCTCACATCTCTGGCTGGAGTTTAGAAAGAAGGGGTAACTCAGAGAAGCCCAACTAGATAAAATCATTACTTTATGAATGAATGAAATTAAAGTCAATTCAAATAAATGCTAGCTCCTCTCTTGACATGCCATCCCCCTGATTAATGATGGCAGGTTTGGTTAAGAATCTATTTTTTCAGGGGCAACTGGGTGGCTCAGTCGGTTAAGCATCTACCTTAGGCTCAGGTCATGATCCCATGTCCTGGGATCGAGCCCCACATTAGGCTCCTTGCTGAGCAGGGAGCCTGCTTCTCCCCCGCCTGCCATTCCCCCTGCTTATGCTTGGTCTCTCCCTCCCTCCCTCCCTCCCTCCCTCCCTCTCTCTCTCTCTCTCTCTCT